TGAATAAAACTAAATTTTGCTTTTGACAAAGTTTCAGAAGAAATGAAGTGCTTTTCAAAAATAGATTTTCCTATTTTGTCATTTCAGTTTAAACACATGCATATATGATGACTGTCATTTCATTCAACAAATATGACTATCACTGACAAATTTGATTCATGATTTTAGTTCTAGTGAAAATGACAATGGCTCTTACAGTACCTGGTATTCCCAAGCAGTCACTCATCTTGGTACTGACCAGGCTCCAGGCTCCAGGCTCCAGGCTGTTTAACTTCGGTGATCATACAGTAATCGATGTTTCAACGTGATGTCGCAATAAGCTCCAGAGTTTTAGTTCTGGTGAAAATGACAATGGCTCTTAAAGCAAGCAAGCGACTTGCAATGTGTATTGCAGACATGACAAACTAATTTGTTCTGTATAGGAGCTAGCCTATTTTTATATTTGTTCAGGTTGCTTGTGGGCTTTCATGTGACAAGTAAGACCAGAGTGGTTTTCCCCAGTTTTTCTGACATATCCCGCACTTTATTTCCAGCATAATTTGTCAAAGGTCTATCAATATGACTCTTCTTGTAGCTAACAAGGCCTGCATTGGAGAAACATGCACTGCTGCATTCATCACATGTAGATTGTTGGATTACTGAGTAGGTAGGGGTTTGAGTAGATGTTCTATTCCTTATTTTTTAAGCAGTGTGAATTATGTCTATTGGCATGTAAATTCAAGAGACTTAGTAAAGAAAATGTGCCTCCTCCCAAGCAGTGATCAAACCTGCATCCCCCTTTGTAGGAGAAACCACCATCTGATCCAGTATACTTTAGACCACTATGCCACAAAGAACACTACTGTCCAACAAGGTTCAATTACTCTTTTAAAGAATGCACATCCTCACATTCTCTTCTCAAAAACCCTTACCTACTCATTTTTCATCTTTGAAATTTATATTAAATAATTTTGAAGGAATTACTGGATGTATCTCAATAACTTAATAAATGATCAAGTGAACTTTTTGATCACCTTCAGAGTTTTGCATAACATTGCTTATCAGGATCAGAGAGTTCAGTAAATTGATTGAATTATTACCAGATATCATATTTATACTGTACAAAAATAAACACTAATCATAGACATCAAATTTAAAATTTGTACTATCCTAAAGATTGTTAAAAATATGACATTTAAATGTCTTCTTAATTCCAGTTCTTTTATTGTTCTCTCCTTAATAATGTTTTTTCTTTATATCATATTTTTTCACACTGTTACCCCTTGTGTTTTAGTGGCTTTATTGCCTTACTTGGGGGGGAAATGATTAAAATGAAATAATAGTGACTTATCCCTTGAAATAAAATTCATAAGTGGATAACCGCTTGTGAGGACTGAACTCGGTACATACTGATAACTTTTCATGACTAGATCATTAACCATTACTTACAGAGCAAGATACTTTTCTGGCACCAGCCAGGAAATTTTGAAATTAATATTAGCTCAAGCCCCAAGGTGGCCACACTCCATGCAGTACTAAACCTTCAAGAGGCTACTGGGGTCATTACCCAGCACCTGAGACATTCCCAAAAGGGGAAGTGCTGAGGAGGCTTGAACAATCTTTGAATAGCTTCCTGTATTAAACCTTGACCTGGTGTCATATTCTGTAATGACATGGATATGCAGATAAATACCTACTCACAGTGAGATAATTTCTGTAGCATAAGCAGAGTGGTATTGAAATTAATATTAGTTTGAACTTCAGAGAGCCATCATTCCAGGCACTACTACTCCTTGAGGAAAGGGTCTGGGGTCATTACCAAATGCCTAAAACATTTCCAAAAGGGGAAATACCAAGGAGGTTTGAGCAATTTTTGAATGGTTACCAAACTCCTATGTTAAATTTGACTTTGTGTCACATTCTGTGTAAATAGGTGAGTATAAATTAATCCCCATTACTCACACAGTGGGACACTCTTTAAAGTATTTACTAAGATTATCTTAATCACCTACAAAGTTACTTATGAGCATTGGTTGGTTGGGGGATTTTGTTTAGTGGCATATCAACTTCAATGAAAAAGATATTACTGGTATTTTTCTATAAGAATGTATTTTTATACTTTCATAGGGTTTTATTTTTTGGTGGTTTCACTCTTTGCCCATAATCCTAAAAAGTGATACCACCCTGGATCAGTGTGTACCTAGGAACAACAGCACTTAAGAGATGGTTTCAGTCTCCTCAAAATCTTCAATATTGCTGAACAGAGACCTAGCTGCCAGATGTAGTATATCATCAGACCCAGGACTATGTGAACACTGATGACACTACACTCTAGCAATAGTCTGCTAGATTAGCTTGTTAACCATTATTACATGGAGAAATGTTCTATGTGAAACCAAATGGTTTGACTAAAGTTATTTATATTAGTGATATAATTGGTTATTAGCAAGTTCCATAAAAACCACTGAACACTTGAAAAGATTTTTTAATGGTAACTTTTTGATTTTTGTTTCTTTTTCAGTCAAATTCAGTATTCTTGACTTTTCTCCTAACTGAATCAATAATAAGCTTTATTCTTGCTGATGGCATTTATCGTATTAATGATGGCATCACTTCAAGTAGTGCAGGCTTACTTTCAAGGCTTCCTGTGTAAGTAGTTTTCCTTTGTCTTCTATATCACCTTTATTTTATTTATTGAGTTATATTTTTATTTACCTTTTTTTTTTTTTTTTAAATCATTTTACCCCAAGCAAGGTGGTAATGCTACAAGAACACAGGGAGTTACAGAGAGTGACAGGGAATGAGGAGACTGAGAATGAGGAGGATTGAGAAAAGGACAAAAAAGGAACAAAGTTCAAGATGGCAATTAATGTTGCATTTAAATTTTTGAAAATTGTAAGCGGCAGGGAAGCAAGAAATCAGAAGGGAATTCCACAGGTGGGAGATGCATGAAGAGAAACTGTTAAAATAGAAGCGGCAGTTATATTTAGCTATCTCAACAGTAAAAAAGTAGAACCTAGTTGCCAATCTAGTTGCATGCTTAAATTCATGTAGTTGAGGCCAAAAAAAAGCTTGCTAGAAAAGACAAAAGGAAGCAAAATCATGTCAGAGAGAAAGCGACTTAAGTTGAGACACTTGGTTAGGATTGATTACATTACAGATCCTTTTTTGAATTTTGTCAAGAATCTCAAGATGTACAGCAGGAGCACCAGACCAGATATGGCAACAGTATTCTATGCACAGATAAATGGTAGATTTATAAATGTGCAAGATGGATTCTGATAAGAAAAATTTGTTGGCACAACACGATGAACTAATTTTCTTAGTAGTAGACGAAGCAATTAATTCGATACAGTTGCTCCAGTTCATGTCAATGGAAAATGTGAGACCAAGAAAGCATAGTTATTAGATATATAGATGGCTTATGTCGTCATCTTTGTTGTCACAAGGTTTTGGATGTTGTGCCCTCTGGCCTTCCTCAGGCATATATTGATCTGGGTAACCTACAAGGAATTCTGAACTGAACCCTTTATCTAATCTATAGGGATAGACAGGAAAATCACCTAGTGGATAAGTGTTGGTTTGTGAATTGTGGTGTCATAGTGGTTTAGAGTTCAATCCCTGGGTCAGGCAGTATGTACTTGCACTCGGTGGAAACAGGCAAGCAATAACTGAACAGTACTAAATAAAAATCAGAATTAGATGATTTCCTTAGATATGAGCAATGGAATGTGAACCGTCTATTCCTGTAGATTAAATAAAGGGTTCAGTTCAGAATTTGAAGAGAATTTAGTTGATATTCCCCAAGCTATCTTGTCAGACTATTGATTAAATAAATGGCTGGGATAATTTCTGATAAACCAAATAAATAAAATATGCTGTACAAGCAAGATTTGAACTCATGACCATTGCCAGAATCCTGTGTTTTGCTGACAAACAAATCAGAAAGTAATAAATTTCATATTTTTCCCTGACATCAGTGTTCAAGCCTACATGAAAAGAAAGGAAAAAATTGGATTTCAAATGTTGTTTTTCAAGGCAGACAAACTCTCTCCACTAAGAAAAGAAATGAGGTAGAAAGATTATACCATGCCAATCTTTCTACCCCATTTCTTCTCTTCAACACTATGTTAAGCTTAATACTTAGGACTTACCTCTTGGCTGAGAGAGTTGCATATGTCCCAACAAAGCAGAATATTGGTGTTCAAACTAAAGTAAAATTCATAATTTTGAATACTGAATTTTAAAGCATACAGATTCTTATCACTTTGAAGATGAGCACAACACAATCTTGCTATCTGCTTTTCCTCTTATTTGGTTTTATGTTGTTCTAAGCTTTACTTAATAAATATCAAGACCAAAAACAAGAGAAATGTTTTTGCAGAAGAACTTCCCCTACTTACTATCTTTTCAGTGCAAAGAAATTAAAGAAAAAAAAAGTATACTTTCAAGTACACAAGATTTTTCTCTCTTTTGTATTTGTTTTCTTCTTTGAAAGAAATATTTCTTTTATTCTTATGCAGCATGTTGGTAAAATCAGTTCATTTGGCGACCTACAAATGGGTGCACAATAACTTTCAACTGCTGGAACTACCCTGGAATAGTCCATGCACTTGGTTTCTGACCTTTTTGTTGGTAGATCTTGGTTACTACTGGTTTCACAGAATGGCACATGGTAACTATATTTTTCTCTTTTGCACGATTGTCATCTGAAATGTTAAAAATAGATGATATGCAGTGTAGTGTAAACATTATGAGAACATTTATAGCAAACGGATGAAACACAAGTCAATATCTGATCAGTATCAGTTGGGTCACCATAGAGAGGGGGGTATTATATTGAAAGACCCAAAACCCCTAATGATCATCAGTTAAAATCATCACTGATAGTGTGTGCCAAAGCATCAAACTAATGTATTTTTCAAAATTACTACTGTATTTTTTTGTGTATAATATAACCCCATGTTTTTGTAGCAAAACACAGGGAATAAATTACATCCTTGAGTATGATATGCCTCATAGTACAGCTATTCCTATGCATTTTTATTTTTAAAGTTGTATCATATTATCCAATAAAACATATCTCTCTCTCGATCTATCTATCTAATATATATATATTTGGTTGGATAGATGTGAATTTTGATTTGGGTTTAGCTTTTAGCGATCGTCAGACAAGTCTGACGATCACTAATATTGAAACCCAGGGTCACAAACTCACATCTATCCAACCAAATATGTTAGCTCTATCTCTGATATTGAGCTTTCTAATAAAACAAGATATAATATATAAATAATTATACATATATATATTTATTTATATTTATATACACTTTTCACATATATATATATATATATATATATATATATATATATATATATATATCTATCACTAAAATATTTAATTTTTCACAATATTAAAGAATAAAAATGAGCTGGATGTTTTTGAGGAAAGGTGCTTTGTTGTAACATTAATGTTATCAAAACATGACAGATCTTGTCTATCCCCTTCATAAATTTTTTTTTTAATCAATTTTGGTGAATTTTCTGTCTTTAAAACAAAAATACGTTCAATTATGCTGATTCCCAAAGAACGTATCAAATACCTTTTCTAAATAATTTTTATCAACACCTGCCTACTTTGTGTTTTGTTATCTATTGTGCTGAGTGTATTTGAGATCTTGCTGTTTCAAATAAGCGGTTTTATAAGCTGTGTTAAAAATTTCTGAAAATGTGTACTTGTGTATAATATGGCCCCCTTTTTGGCCTTTAATTTTTGTTCAAAATTTATATTATGCACCAGAAAATACATTATTTACTCTAAAATATTTTACTAATGACTTCTGCTGATTCTACTGGGTATGTACACTGAGAGTGAAATAATTCACATAAACAAATTGATCTACTTTTGAAAAAGAGCACAATACAAACTTCCTAAGCATTTCTTCAATAGAAGCATTAAGGGTTTACGGTAATGTCATATTGAAACACTGGTTCTCATATGATCATCAAAGTTAAACGTCAAGCCTGGTCACTAACTAAATGGGTGACCACTTGGAAATACCAGCTACTGCTAACTTGGATGTACTGGTGACATATTGGATAACGTCTCTGAATCAGTAGTCGGAGAGCTAAGTTCCAATTCCAGTTGGGTTCGTTATATTCACTTACATGCAAATAACCTTGGGAAAGTTATAAATCCAACTCTTCTTCCTCCAGGTATGGATTAATTAGTAGGGATTGTATCAGTAAATCTTAAAAAAAAATACTACTTACAATCTAAAAATATTTTCTGGTTTTAAATAAGGTTGATAAACTGTAAAAAAAAAAAAAAAAAAAATCAATCATATCAATAGAAGCAGTCTCAGTGTATTGTTTTTTATCTTCATAGCAGTGAAGCATAACAACAAATCATGACACTCGTTTGGTGGAAATTTCAAAGGGTTAAATCCATATTAAGTCACTCTCGCACAAAAAAAATGGGGAATATCACCTGACCCTCATGGATTTCCTTGATACCTGCACCAACAAAAAAATCTAGATATCATTAAAACTAGAAAATGATAATTTGATAGTCTACTTCCAGCAGTTCCAAAGTTGACGTATTTTTATCATTTGATACTGTTTTCATGTCATGAAGCAAAATCTGCTGTTTTGGAAACCATTGCATAATTCTTCAAGTTCTAGAGAAGTTTATTAGATACACCAGCAAAAATAATATTCAGCTGAAAAACCTGAATTTTGGTAATACTGCATTTTAAGAACTAAGAAAGAACTAAACTTCATTTTAAGCTCAGACGAGGTTCAATATGTGTAACAGAATGTATAAAATATTCTTTTATCTCAAAAGTACCATCCACATGATTTTTTTTTATCATGCCTTGCCATGGTAGAGGAAAAATGTCAGAAATCACCTATATTTCAAAATGGGTTGGTTTTGAGGTATTTTCCATAACATTTTTGGATTCCTTGTCTTCAATAACTTTCTAATACCAATTTTTGAAGTTATAGTTTCTCTAGAACTTGAATAATAATGCTTTCAATATGATAGATTTTACTTCATGATACACCAAGAGAACCAAATCATAAAAAATGTGATCATTTTGGAACTCCTGAGAGTTACACCTTCAAATTTTCAGGATATTCTAGTTTTAATGCTACCTACATTTTGTACAAAAATCTTGGAAATCCATAAGGGTCTGGATGATTTGATAGGGTGTATCCTAAAATTCCTTCATTTGGGTTCATTATTCAAGAAACTCATTTTTTGATTCAGTTACTAAACTCAAGTTTCAGCTCAACTGACATAGTCTTTCTATAGTTTATATGAAAATTGAAAGCTGTTGCTTGACTCTGTATCAACAAGCCATTGTTGGTAGATTTCAAGAGTTTCTCGGACTATTGATTTCAATCATTTTCTCGTTAGTATATTTTAGCTGATCTTTTCCATGGCTCTTAAAATGTAGAATCTGCATGGAAACATCTCTTTTGGTAGAGGTGTTGTGTTGGTCACCTTTTTTCAGCACTGTCCAGAAGAAAAAGTACACCTACCCAATTGTCTTTTGCAGTATTATACATGGTCTGTATGGAAAGTATCCAGTCATTTTGAATATCACAAGAACAAATTATAGGGTTTTGATATAACTTAGCAACCTGTTAGAAGGAATCTTATTGTGCATGCATAAACATATACTCTCCTTTAGGGTTACTCGATCAGAATCTCACTGCCAACCTGAGTAAACTTAGGCTGTGCAGGATTTTTTTTAACAAAACAATGCCTCACACAGGTATATCAATTCTCTTGCAGTTCAGATTTGTCTTTCTGCTATCTCTGGCTTTTCCCAATCTTAGATTGAAAGATTTCAGACTGTAGACAAGATTAAAGAATATTATGGAGAATGCAAAAAGGCAGTTGCTGTGATCCTAAAATAAGCCTGCAAGCCGTGTTAAAAATAGAAAGGATACTGGTGTGGATGTATGTGAGATGTCAAAGAGAATGCTTTGAAAGAGGAAAGTAAGTTGGGTCATAGAATGCATTTTCCATGTTAAACCAATAAGATTTCATACTTATTTAATTTTAATTGTGTTTATCAGAGGTGAACATATTATGGGCTGCCCATCAAGTACACCATAGTTCAGAGGATTACAACTTGTCTACTGCTTTGAGACAATCAGTACTTCAAACCTATACATCATGGGTAAGTAATAAAGTACCATAACATACTAAACTATTTATAAACTATTTATAAATCTTTCTTTATTTGTTCTAGTAACAAAAATCATTGAAATTATTACCACATTTGATAGCATACACTACAGTGATGCTGATAGGTTTTTGATATAGCGAATCCCTGGTACCCACAGGTGATAATTTGGATAAAAATAGGGAATTCAATGGGTACCAACTAAAGTTTCTTAATCAATTGTTGTGTTAAACTGCAGGGTACAAACTAAGTTTTTTTTTATCATTATCCCAGACAAAATTTTCATCATCCTAAATAACTTAAATTGACAGAACAATTTTGATATTTATTTTTTTAAATTGACAAATTCAAAACAAAAAGTAAAAACAGTATTTACACTTAGTCACAGTTCAATTAAAAAACTATATTAAAAAACTATAATTTTTGAGAATTATGAAAGGACAAAGTTTTTAAACTACTTGGAACTACCAGGTGCTGTAAGCTTGGATGTGCTGGTGGTATGAATTATGGCCATAGCACATTGAAACACCAATTCTCATACAATCACCAAAGTTAAGCAACATTAAACCTAGTCAGTACTTAGATGAGTGACTGCCATTGGAAATACCAGATGATGTAAGTTGGATGTAATTCATAACTGCTCAGAATTGGAAATCAGAGAGCCAAATTCAAATTCCAATTGGGTTCATTATATTCACTAATGTGCAAATACCCTTTGGAAAGGTATGAATCCACCTCTTCTCCCCCCAGCCATGGGTTAATTAGTAGAAATTTTATCAGAAAATCATTATTAACTCTAAAAAATTATTACAATTTAAAAATATTTTCTGGCTTTAACCCTTTTTTTGCATTTGTGAACAATTTTAACCCTTTTGCCTGAGCTTCTCAGTCAAAATTCACAAATAATTGGTATGTAATGTTTCACAGTAGACATAAAAATAGTTACAGGTGTTTCCCCACAGTTCAAATGATGGGTGGACATTATGTCATTTTTCTCTAACACCAGTAAAGCAGTAGTCAGGACTGCAAAAGGCCTTAAATAAAACAAATCAATCATCTAATATTGCAGTTTTATGAGTATTATGGATTTAGGCTTGGAAGGAGGACTTGTAGTCTACAGCAGCTGTGTAGACAGACTACTAGATACCTAACTTTACATAAAAGATCGGAAGATGTTTTTTGAGCCTTTTTTGAATGATGGAATTTTATATGCTATCAAATACAGTAAATGAACTTGTAGTGGTGCTGTATGAATTGTTGGCTAGGGTCACCATGAATATAATCAAGAAGGAAAGCTGTGTTCTTGTAAAACAACACCCCACATGAATAATGCACAACAAACACGAGAGAAAAATAATGAAGCTCAGTGAACATTAATAAAATATTGTATTAACAATGATATACAAAAATATCAACAATAGTATAAAGAAAGTTGCTTCCCTTTTTCCGTAATAAAAAGGGTAAGTTTAGCTAATTAATGTTGAGTACAATATTGAATGTTATTTAACTACAAAGTTCAATTGAAGTCTTAGCTAAATAAAGAATAGTTTCACAGTGTTTTATCAGTGTAGAAAAATGTAATGTTCATGAGTGATATCAATAGGAATTAGTATGATTACTCGATTGAGTGATAATTAAGAATTAAAATGTCAATATAGTGCCGTGCCTTATTTTCCAAGAATTGAACTGCTACTGACTGTTAGCAAACAGCGAGAGTCTTTTTATAACGATGGGTAGGATCCAGAGAGCGTGGCGCTAAAATATAGAAAAGATACTAAAATACACGATTGGTCAGGAAATGGACCAATCCGTGATTTTAGAGAAAATTTCAAATTACCTGCGATGGCAAAATTGTCATCTGGTAAGTATCATATATTCACGAACCAATGATATTGAAAGAAATGGAGGTGTGGCACATGTAAATGATCCCCACAAACTCAACGATAAATTCTTTTTCACTAACATTTCATAAACTATCAAACAAAAAATAGTTTTAGGGACATGGAATAGAAGAAATGTTAATATTTTAGGCACATGCAAAATTAGGTGGGAAAATAATGGAGACATAGGAAAAATGAAAAACATTTTTAATATATCCATTTTACTTCTATATATACTGAGAGCACAAAGTACAGAAGAAATTGAAAAGCTTTATTGTACATTGGATAAAGCCAAGACTCAATGCAAATTGCAGAAAATGCAATCATTAAGGGAGACCTGAATGCCAAAGTAGGGAAGGCATTAGATGGTAAGAGAGTTGACTAGGAACTAGGAACTTATAATGAACATGGAGAAAATGGGTCCAATAGTGAATGACCAGGTATTATCCAACAGCTGGTTTCAAGAACACCCAAGACATTTATGAACATAGAGAATCCAAGGAGGAGAAATGAAGAGCCAAATTGATAACATAAAAACCAATAAGAAATTCAGGAATGCATTTTTAAACTGTAAAATTTACCTAAGTGCCAACCAGGAATAACCACCTTCTTGTGATATGTAACCTAATAATGAAACTATAGAAGTTGAAAAGGACCAAGGCAGCACCTAAATTACAATAAACAAATTTCTTGATGACCCAAATTTGAAAGAGATGTATATGGATAGCCTTAAAAGTAGATACAATGAACTAAATGAGAACGGAAATTCAAAGTGGGACATATTAAGAGAACCAAATGACATCATCCCAAAGAAAACTAGAAAAGGAAAAAAAGAATGGATAACATGAAATTCTTGACATAATGAAAAGGAGACGGTAAACAATGCCAAGTTATGGTACAGAATATAGGACGTTACACAAAGAAATTAGAAACAAATGCAGGGAGGCAAAAGAAGAATGACTCAACAAAATGTGTGCAGAAATAGAAAGTATGAACATCACAAATAAGACAGATATGCATAAGAAAATAAGAAGAACAGGACAAAGGACCTGCTCATCAACAGAATGTATAAGATCAAGATGGAACACTGATAATAGAGAAAGAAAAAATTCCACAAAGATGGAACAAATACATCAAAGAATTCTTCCACAATGAAATAGAGAAACCTGCAATACACAAAAATATGGAAGGACCAGTAATATTAAAATGTGAAGTAAAATCAGCATTGGCCAAATTAAATGGTGTCAAGGCAGCAGGATGAGATAGAAGTGTAATGGAGATGCTGGCAGCTGTTGATGATTTGGGCATTGACAAAATTACAGACATAAATAAAATATATGATAGTGGTGATATACCCACAGACTTAGGCAGCGCTATGAAAATGGCTCTAACTAAGAAGCCAGGTGCAAATGAATGTAAACTCCATCAGATCAATGAACCATAAAACTTATACAAATTCAGATGAATAGTTGAGTAGCATTATTAGACCAAAAATAGGACAAAAACAGTACAGTTTTGTTAAAAACACTGGAATAAGGAATGTGATATTTTATGCTCAGAATGATAACAAAGAGCAAAAGGATGTATACCTATGTTTTATATGCAGATATGCAGATAACAGTTGATAGAAGACAGAAATTAAACTACTTGAACTCCTAGAGAAGGTAGCAAAAGAAAGCAAGAAGAAAGGACTGTATGGTTGTCAGCAAAAGAAACGGCCCAATAGGGGAATTACAAATTGGAGATGCCAAAATCAAGCAAATACAGAAATTTTATTTAAGGAAAATGCTACACTAAAATCCAAAAGCAGATTGAAATAGTGAAAGAGGCCTTCAAAAGATAATCAAAGTATTAAGAAAAGCTGGTTGTTGGTCATTAGTCACTTCAATCCACATCAACTCTGCCCACATTGTGTTTTTGAGCAGTGGAAGATTGAATGTCATAGCAATCACAGTGCAAGTTAAATCCATGGTGGGTGCTACATTAAGAGAAGAGATATCTTTACAATGAAAAAATAAAAATGAAAGATTCATTGGGTTAATCTTCAATTGGTTTATATAGTTCTTGGTAGAACAAAAATTAACCCTCCCTGCATCAATATCTATAGTGACACTGTTCCTCACCTGATAATTTGATATCAAAGTTCTTCAGAATCAGAAAATCTGGTGACAGCTGACACGGATTCCAGAGGCACTTGATGTGGGATTTGCAGTCCAAGTCTTTGAACTCTCAAAGCTATCTGCTTATATGCACTTTGGCCCAAAACTGGCATGGGGCTGAAGAGTTCTTGGGATTCATTGATTCAATTTTCACATTAATCTCATTAAAGATTATTTGTTCCCAATCTTTTTCCTTAATCAACTTTCCAAATATGGAGAATTATTCACCTTCTCGAGAATAGTTACAGGGATTGCTCCTCCTTTAAACTTTAACCTGTTTCACTTCATGTCTTGTGCCACCACTCCACACAGGCAGAGCTAATTTCTCCCTCTTCCTCCTTCCTTCTCAGTATTCTAACCTCAGCCTACTTCCCAGGGTTGGCATAACTATCTTTGTGACAAATCTAATTTTAAAATTTGTGGGTGAAAGGGCATTGTTTTTATTCTAGTCATTAATTTTAATTCTCTTGTTTCCTCCTTTTCCATTCTTAACTATTATTTTTGTCTAGCAAAAACACAAACCAGATGATTGCTTCTCATTTTAATCTGTTTTCATAACTTGCCCTTCAAAAGAGTTTAAACATTATTTCTGAATTTGTTTTCGTCGGTGAAAATATATTTGTCTTCTTCCTAAATTCTCAACAAAGAGACATAAAATTGTTTTCCATTCTTGGGCTGATTCTCATGTTAGCAAAAAACATAAACATGACCATCTGCTTGTTATGACAGGATCGATTTTCATAATCCCAACCCTCACAGTGGGTTCATTTTTTGTTTTCATTTCTCAATTAATTTTTGTTAATGAAAATATAATTCCTGTCTGTCTCTCTTCTCACCAATGTCATGTGTTTTTCTAATTTCCTCATAAAGAGATAAAACCATTTCTAATTTCTTTTGCATGCCAGATTTTCGATAGATAAAAGTAAAAAAAAAAAATCGTTCCAATCCCTAGAGGTGAGATAGTCCAGATGACCCT